TGAATGGACGCTTTGTCACACCAAGCATGCTTGAATGGACGCTTTGTCACACCAAGCATGCATGAATGGACGCTTTGTCACACCAAGCATGCATGAATGGACGCTTTGTCACACCAAGCATGCATGAATGGACGCTTTGTCACACCAAGCATGCATGAATGGACGCTTTGTCACACCAAGCATGCTTGAATGGACGCTTTGTCACACCAAGCATGCATGAATGGACGCTTTGTCACACCAAGCATGCTTGAATGGACGCTTTGTCACACCAAGCATGCTTGAATGGACGCTTTGTCACACCAAGCATGCATGAATGGACGCTTTGTCACACCAAGCATGCTTGAATGGACGCTTTGTCACACCAAGCATGCATGAATGGACGCTTTGTCACACCAAGCATGCATGAATGGACGCTTTGTCACACCAAGCATGCATGAATGGACGCTTTGTCACACCAAGCATGCTTGAATGGACGCTTTGTCACACCAAGCATGCTTGAATGGACGCTTTGTCACACCAAGCATGCATGAATGGACGCTTTGTCACACCAAGCATGCATGAATGGACGCTTTGTCACACCAAGCATGCTTGAATGGACGCTTTGTCACACCAAGCATGCATGAATGGACGCTTTGTCACACCAAGCATGCTTGAATGGACGCTTTGTCACACCAAGCATGCTTGAATGGACGCTTTGTCACACCAAGCATGCATGAATGGACGCTTTGTCACACCAAGCATGCTTGAATGGACGCTTTGTCACACCAAGCATGCATGAATGGACGCTTTGTCACACCAAGCATGCATGAATGGACGCTTTGTCACACCAAGCATGCATGAATGGACGCTTTGTCACACCAAGCATGCTTGAATGGACGCTTTGTCACACCAAGCATGCATGAATGGACGCTTTGTCACACCAAGCATGCATGAATGGACGCTTTGTCACACCAAGCATGCATGAATGGACGCTTTGTCACACCAAGCATGCTTGAATGGACGCTTTGTCACACCAAGCATGCATGAATGGACGCTTTGTCACACCAAGCATGCATGAATGGACGCTTTGTCACACCAAGCATGCATGAATGGACGCTTTGTCACACCAAGCATGCATGAATGGACGCTTTGTCACACCAAGCATGCTTGAATGGACGCTTTGTCACACCAAGCATGCTTGAATGGACGCTTTGTCACACCAAGCATGCTTGAATGGACGCTTTGTCACACCAAGCATGCATGAATGGACGCTTTGTCACACCAAGCATGCATGAATGGACGCTTTGTCACACCAAGCATGCATGAATGGACGCTTTGTCACACCAAGCATGCTTGAATGGACGCTTTGTCACACCAAGCATGCATGAATGGACGCTTTGTCACACCAAGCATGCTTGAATGGACGCTTTGTCACACCAAGCATGCTTGAATGGACGCTTTGTCACACCAAGCATGCTTGAATGGACGCTTTGTCACACCAAGCATGCTTGAATGGACGCTTTGTCACACCAAGCATGCTTGAATGGACGCTTTGTCACACCAAGCATGCATGAATGGACGCTTTGTCACACCAAGCATGCATGAATGGACGCTTTGTCACACCAAGCATGCATGAATGGACGCTTTGTCACACCAAGCATGCATGAATGGACGCTTTGTCACACCAAGCATGCTTGAATGGACGCTTTGTCACACCAAGCATGCTTGAATGGACGCTTTGTCACACCAAGCATGCATGAATGGACGCTTTGTCACACCAAGCATGCTTGAATGGACGCTTTGTCACACCAAGCATGCTTGAATGGACGCTTTGTCACACCAAGCATGCTTGAATGGACGCTTTGTCACACCAAGCATGCTTGAATGGACGCTTTGTCACACCAAGCATGCTTGAATGGACGCTTTGTCACACCAAGCATGCATGAATGGACGCTTTGTCACACCAAGCATGCATGAATGGACGCTTTGTCACACCAAGCATGCATGAATGGACGCTTTGTCACACCAAGCATGCATGAATGGACGCTTTGTCACACCAAGCATGCATGAATGGACGCTTTGTCACACCAAGCATGCTTGAATGGACGCTTTGTCACACCAAGCATGCTTGAATGGACGCTTTGTCACACCAAGCATGCATGAATGGACGCTTTGTCACACCAAGCATGCATGAATGGACGCTTTGTCACACCAAGCATGCTTGAATGGACGCTTTGTCACACCAAGCATGCATGAATGGACGCTTTGTCACACCAAGCATGCTTGAATGGACGCTTTGTCACACCAAGCATGCTTGAATGGACGCTTTGTCACACCAAGCATGCATGAATGGACGCTTTGTCACACCAAGCATGCTTGAATGGACGCTTTGTCACACCAAGCATGCATGAATGGACGCTTTGTCACACCAAGCATGCATGAATGGACGCTTTGTCACACGAAGCATGCATGAATGGACGCTTTGTCACACCAAGCATGCTTGAATGGACGCTTTGTCACACCAAGCATGCATGAATGGACGCTTTGTCACACCAAGCATGCATGAATGGACGCTTTGTCACACCAAGCATGCATGAATGGACGCTTTGTCACACCAAGCATGCTTGAATGGACGCTTTGTCACACCAAGCATGCATGAATGGACGCTTTGTCACACCAAGCATGCATGAATGGACGCTTTGTCACACCAAGCATGCATGAATGGACGCTTTGTCACACCAAGCATGCATGAATGGACGCTTTGTCACACCAAGCATGCTTGAATGGACGCTTTGTCACACCAAGCATGCTTGAATGGACGCTTTGTCACACCAAGCATGCTTGAATGGACGCTTTGTCACACCAAGCATGCATGAATGGACGCTTTGTCACACCAAGCATGCATGAATGGACGCTTTGTCACACCAAGCATGCATGAATGGACGCTTTGTCACACCAAGCATGCTTGAATGGACGCTTTGTCACACCAAGCATGCATGAATGGACGCTTTGTCACACCAAGCATGCTTGAATGGACGCTTTGTCACACCAAGCATGCTTGAATGGACGCTTTGTCACACCAAGCATGCTTGAATGGACGCTTTGTCACACCAAGCATGCTTGAATGGACGCTTTGTCACACCAAGCATGCTTGAATGGACGCTTTGTCACACCAAGCATGCATGAATGGACGCTTTGTCACACCAAGCATGCATGAATGGACGCTTTGTCACACCAAGCATGCATGAATGGACGCTTTGTCACACCAAGCATGCATGAATGGACGCTTTGTCACACCAAGCATGCTTGAATGGACGCTTTGTCACACCAAGCATGCTTGAATGGACGCTTTGTCACACCAAGCATGCATGAATGGACGCTTTGTCACACCAAGCATGCTTGAATGGACGCTTTGTCACACCAAGCATGCATGAATGGACGCTTTGTCACACCAAGCATGCATGAATGGACGCTTTGTCACACCAAGCATGCATGAATGGACGCTTTGTCACACCAAGCATGCTTGAATGGACGCTTTGTCACACCAAGCATGCTTGAATGGACGCTTTGTCACACCAAGCATGCATGAATGGACGCTTTGTCACACCAAGCATGCATGAATGGACGCTTTGTCACACCAAGCATGCTTGAATGGACGCTTTGTCACACCAAGCATGCATGAATGGACGCTTTGTCACACCAAGCATGCTTGAATGGACGCTTTGTCACACCAAGCATGCATGAATGGACGCTTTGTCACACCAAGCATGCATGAATGGACGCTTTGTCACACCAAGCATGCATGAATGGACGCTTTGTCACACCAAGCATGCTTGAATGGACGCTTTGTCACACCAAGCATGCTTGAATGGACGCTTTGTCACACCAAGCATGCTTGAATGGACGCTTTGTCACACCAAGCATGCATGAATGGACGCTTTGTCACACCAAGCATGCATGAATGGACGCTTTGTCACACCAAGCATGCATGAATGGACGCTTTGTCACACCAAGCATGCTTGAATGGACGCTTTGTCACACCAAGCATGCATGAATGGACGCTTTGTCACACCAAGCATGCTTGAATGGACGCTTTGTCACACCAAGCATGCTTGAATGGACGCTTTGTCACACCAAGCATGCTTGAATGGACGCTTTGTCACACCAAGCATGCATGAATGGACGCTTTGTCACACCAAGCATGCTTGAATGGACGCCTTGTCACATCAAGCATGTACGTGCACAGCATCCCACCTCTTTCAAACTTCTCAAGGTGGTGGTCCACGCCTATAATGCGCGATGCCTTGGCTGCCTTGGCCCCCTCCGTTAGTGTTAGCCCTCAATCTCACACTTTGTACTTTATATTTTCTATATCCTAGAGTAGTGTAGTTTGCACTTTGTGATTGGTTGGGTGTACACCTACATCCCAACCAAACCCAAATGTAATCTCCAAGCAATCTCCAACCCACCAATTGGAGATTGCCTTAGGATTACCCCCAATCCCTAGGGATTGCCCCCAATTCCCTTCCCCATCCATTCCTTGCCCTTCTTGGATGTACTTAAAGAGCTTCAAGCTCATTACTAATGCATCAGTTCTAAGCCTAAGTTCTGACACCCTCCGCCACCTGCCACCCATAAGCAAGTGCGCACACAAAGCACACCAGGCATGCATGAATGCATGTGCACGCAAAGCACACCAGGCATGCATGAATGCATGTGCACGCAAAGCACACCAGGCATGCATGAATGCATGTGCACGCAAAGCACACCAGGCATGCATGAATGCATGTGCACGCAAAGCACACCAGGCATGCATGAATGCATGTGCACGCAAAGCACACCAGGCATGCATGAATGCATGTGCACGCAAAGCACACCAGGCATGCATGAATGCATGTGCACGCAAAGCACACCAGGCATGCATGAATGCATGTGCACGCAAAGCACACCAGGCATGCATGAATGCATGTGCACGCAAAGCACACCAGGCATGCATGAATGCATGTGCACGCAAAGCACACCTGTGTCGAACTTGGTCGGGTCGATATCAACGCCTATGATGCGCGATGCCTTGGCTGCCTTTGCGCCCTCCGCCACCTGCCACACATGAGCACTCCAGCACAGAAGAGTCCAAGTCAGACGCATAGCCTATCATCAACTAGACATGCATTTCACTTTTGAGTTGACTCAAAAGTCAGTTCCCTCTGCCACCTGCCACACATAAGCACTCCAGAATAGAAGAGCCTATAAAAAAGTAGACACGCATTGGGCACCCAGGCAACAAAGCCGACAACACAAGTTACCATACCATGTGACGCACGAGGCACGCCACCACCACCACTCCAGACTGTAACTCACCGAGAACCCAGAAAGTGGCCCGGCCAATCCTTGCCGCATCAAAGAAGCACTTGACTCACCGCGAGCCCAACAGTGCCCAGGCCGAAAATGGCAACAGTGAGTCCAGGTTCCACCTTGGCTGCACTAGCCATTCATCATGCAGCAGAACCCATCACATGCAAGCCTTACCAGTGAGTCAGTCACTCCCCTGCATCCCACCACAATTTGCCTTTGAGTCGACTGAAAAGTTGGCTGCACTCGCCATTCATCATGCAGCAGTACTCATCACATGCACGCCTTACCATTGAATACTCCCCTGCATCCCACCACAACATGGATCCCACCACAACCTGAATCCCACCACAACCTGCATCCCACCACCACCACTGCCAGCTGTGACTCACCGCGAGCCCAACGGTGCCCAGTCCAAAGATGGCAACAGTGGAACCAGGCTCCACCTTGGCTGCGATCGATGCAGCCTTTAGACTCCCTGCAAGCCCCATGATTGTTCCCCACCACCACGACAACCCGTGACTCACCGCGAGCCCAACGGTGCCCAGCCCAAAGATGGCAACAGTGGAACCAGGCTCCACCTTGGCTGCATTCCACACCGCTCCCAGCCCTGCCAGTAGAAGGGTGGTTGAAGGGAGGGTTGGAAGTAGGGCGGTTCAAAGCGGTTCAAGGTGGTCAAGGGCGGTGAAGGATTGAAGGAGGGATCCACCTAGACTGTGTTCCACAGTTCCACACGCATGGATGGAATAAATAGAGGAGGCCAAAGAGAGTGGGGGGTGGGTTGGGGAAGGGGGAGGAGGGCACACCATGGGCCATGAGCTCCCTCACTTACCGGTGGGGATGCCGCAGCCCAGCAAGCACACTTTGTCGAGCGGTGCCTCTGGGTTGATCTTGGCAACTGAGACATCGTGAACCACTGTGTACTCGCTGAACGTGCTCGTGCCCATGAAGTGATAGATAGGCTCGCCCCTCACAGAGAATCGCGGCTTGTCGTCAGACAGCATCACACCACGGCCTGTGTGTGTGGGAAGGAGGGAGCGAGGAGTGGAGTCGGTGAGTGCATTTGCTGAACGTGCTCGTGCCCATGAAGTGATAGATAGGCTCGCCCCTCACAGAGAATCGCGTCTTGTCGTCAGACAGCATCACACCACGGCCTGTGGTGAGAGACGAACGAGAGGGGAAGGAAAGGAGAGAGAGCAGTGAGTAGAGATAGTGGGTGTATTCACTGAACGTGCTTGTGCCCATGAAATGGTAGATGGGTTCCCCACGGACGGAGAAGCACGGCTTGTCGTCTGATAGCATCACACCGCGGCCTGTGTGTGAGGGAAGAGGGAGAGGGAAGGGGGAAGGCTCGCTGAGCGTGCTCGTGCCCATGAAGTGGTAGATGGGCTCGCCCCTAACGGTGCTTTTGAGTCGACTCAAAAGCAGTGGTAGATGGGCTCGCCCCTAACGGTGCTTTTGAGTCGACTCAAAAGCAGTGGTAGATGGGCTCGCCCCTAACGGTGCTTTTGAGTCGACTCAAAAGCAGTGGTAGATGGGCTCGCCCCTAACGGTGCTTTTGAGTCGACTCAAAAGCAGTGGTAGATGGGCTCGCCCCTAACGGTGCTTTTGAGTCGACTCAAAAGCAGTGGTAGATGGGCTCGCCCCTAACGGTGCTTTTGAGTCGACTCAAAAGCAGTGGTAGATGGGCTCGCCCCTAACGGTGCTTTTGAGTCGACTCAAAAGCAGTGGTAGATGGGCTCGCCCCTAACGGTGCTTTTGAGTCGACTCAAAAGCAGTGGTAGATGGGCTCGCCCCTAACGGTGCTTTTGAGTCGACTCAAAAGCAGTGGTAGATGGGCTCGCCCCTAACGGTGCTTTTGAGTCGACTCAAAAGCAGTGGTAGATGGGCTCGCCCCTAACGGTGCTTTTGAGTCGACTCAAAAGCAGTGGTAGATGGGCTCGCCCCTAACGGTGCTTTTGAGTCGACTCAAAAGCAGTGGTAGATGGGCTCGCCCCTAACGGTGCTTTTGAGTCGACTCAAAAGCAGTGGTAGATGGGCTCGCCCCTAACGGTGCTTTTGAGTCGACTCAAAAGCAGTGGTAGATGGGCTCGCCCCTAACGGTGCTTTTGAGTCGACTCAAAAGCAGTGGTAGATGGGCTCGCCCCTAACGGTGCTTTTGAGTCGACTCAAAAGCAGTGGTAGATGGGCTCGCCCCTAACGGTGCTTTTGAGTCGACTCAAAAGCAGTGGTAGATGGGCTCGCCCCTAACGGTGCTTTTGAGTCGACTCAAAAGCAGTGGTAGATGGGCTCGCCCCTAACGGTGCTTTTGAGTCGACTCAAAAGCAGTGGTAGATGGGCTCGCCCCTAACGGTGCTTTTGAGTCGACTCAAAAGCAGTGGTAGATGGGCTCGCCCCTAACGGTGCTTTTGAGTCGACTCAAAAGCAGTGGTAGATGGGCTCGCCCCTAACGGTGCTTTTGAGTCGACTCAAAAGCAGTGGTAGATGGGCTCGCCCCTAACGGTGCTTTTGAGTCGACTCAAAAGCAGTGGTAGATGGGCTCGCCCCTAACGGTGCTTTTGAGTCGACTCAAAAGCAGTGGTAGATGGGCTCGCCCCTCACGGTGAAGCGCGGCTTCATGTCCGACAGCATCACACCACGGCCTGAAGGAAGAGAGGAGATGGGAAGAGAGAGGGGAGAATCATGAATAAATTCGCTGAACGTGCTCGTGCCCATGAAGTGGACGATGGCCTCCCTGCGCACCGAGAAGCGCGGCTTGCCATCCACGAGCATCACACTGCTGCTTGCCATCCACGAGCGTCACACTGCTGCTTGCCATCCACGAGCATCACACTGCTGCTTGCCATCCACGAGCATCACACTGCTGCTTGCCATCCACGAGCATCACACTGCTGCTTGCCATCCACGAGCATCACACTGCTGCTTGCCATCCACGAGCATCACACTGCTGCTTGCCATCCACGAGCATCACACTGCTGCTTGCCATCCACGAGCATCACACTGCTGCTTGCCATCCACGAGCATCACACTGCTGCTTGCCATCCACGAGCATCACACTGCTGCTTGCCATCCACGAGCATCACACTGCTGCTTGCCATCCACGAGCATCACACTGCTGCTTGCCATCCACGAGCATCACACTGCTGCTTGCCATCCACGAGCATCACACTGCTGCTTGCCATCCACGAGCATCACACTGCTGCTTGCCATCCACGAGCATCACACTGCTGCTTGCCATGCACGAGCATCACACTGCTGCTTGCCATGCACGAGCATCACACTGCTGCTTGCCATGCACGAGCATCACACTGCTGCTTGCCATGCACGAGCATCACACTGCTGCTTGCCATGCACGAGCATCACACTGCTGCTTGCCATCCACGAGCATCACATCACACTGCTTTTGAGTCGACTCAAAAGGCTTGCCATCCGAGAGCATCACATCACACTGCGGCCTGTCGGAAGAAGAATGATACATTCTGAAAGCACTAGAAAAGAAAGAAAGAGAAAAAAAACCTGAATGCAATGCATACGCAATTTGCTGAGAGAACGAGCAGGAGCAGCACTCGTGCTCCCTGACTCACCTGTGGCAGGGCGGACCTTGCCGCACAGGTTGGTCTTCCCTGACTTGCAGAACTTGCACGTTAGGACCAGGGGACGGTCAAACACATTCACCTGGAGGACTAGGGAAGACAAACACTCATGCTCCCTCACTCACCAGTGGCGGGGCGGACCTTGCCGCACAGGTTGGTCTTCCCTGACTTGCAGAACTTGCACGTTAGAATTAGGGGACGGTCAATCACATTCACCTGGAGGACTAGAGAAGACAAAAACTCATGCTCCCTCACTCACTCACCAGTGGCGGGGCGGACCTTGCCGCACAGGTTGGTCTTCCCGGACTTGCAGAACTTGCACTCGCGGCACTCCGCCTGGTAGCACGGAATCACATGGTCGCCTGGCTGCACACTCGTGACTCCCTCGCCCACACTCTCCACGATGCTGGCAGGGTTTTACAAAAAGAGAGGAGGAGGAAAAAAAAGGTAAGAGAGGGACGTTCTTAATCCGCCTGGTAGTAAGAGTGAAGGTAACAGAGAGACCGTGGCATTCCGCCTGGTAGCACGGAATCACATGATCGGCCAGCTGCATGCTCGTCACTCCCTCACCCACACTCTCCACTATGCTGGCAGAGAAAGAGGAGGGGAGGGTAAGAGAGAGATGTTGGTATTCCGCCTGGTAGCACGGAATCACATGATCGCCCGGCTGCATGCTTGTCACACCCTCTCCCATGCTCTCCACTATGCAGGCAGGTTGGGAGGAGTCAGAGAAAGACGTTGATATTTAGCTTGGTGGAACGATAACACATGGCCGTCGAGTCAACTATTGAGTCGACCCCAAAAGTCATCTCGCCCTGCTGTAGAATTTACCATCTGTGACAGCCATACTACACAGCAGCACACAGGTACGCACCCAGCAGCCTCGTGCCTGAGGATGCAGAGGAAGACCCCTTCAGGATAGTGGCCCTCCAAAGTGTATGCGTCCGATTCAACCAGGCAATAAAAACCAGGTACACCTGTCGCATCCACCCTCAGTACACAGCAGCACACAAAAGCACACTCACCCAGCAGCCTCGTGTCCAAGAATGCAGGGGAAGAGCCCCTCGGGGTCGTGGCCGTCGAGAGTGTACGCGTCAGTGTGGCAGAGCGCGGTGTGTGTGATGCGGATTCGCACCTCCCCCGCCTGTGGCGGCGCCACCTCCACCTCCTCGATCACCAGCGGCTTGTTCGGCGCCCACGCCACCGCCGCTGCACGCAAGCAATCTACAAAATCTTAGGCTCAAGAAACAAAGCTGCAATAAGAAAAGACACATGAGTGAAAAGGCGCCACCTCTACCTCCTCGATCACCGGTGGCTTGTTTGGCGCCCACGCCACCGCCGCTGCACACAGGGAGTTGCAAAACTTTAGGCCAGAAATTCAAATATACAATATATGAAGACACAGAAGCGAGAAGGCGCCACCTCCACCTCCCCCATCACCAACGGCTTGTTCGGCGGCCACGTCACCGCCGTTGCATGTAAGGAGTCAAGGAATAAACAGTAAGAAGGGGTCATAAAGAAAGAAAGAAAGAAAGAAACATCGATTCTTTAGTCGACTGGCAAAACAAAAAGTGGTGATCAAGTTCCTTACGGCTTGTTGGGTCCGCATGACACCATCCGCTGCTGAAGGTGAGGTGAGACGAAGCTTTCCGTAATAAGCACCACGTGATAATAGCGGATTCAGGGAGAATCTCTTGAAATACTACGCTTGAGAACCCGAATCCAGTGAAATTCGATGAAATCTTTAGTGACGTTGATTTTCTCACCCTTGCACTTGATAACTTGTCCAGCCGTCGCCATGTGTCTTTGGAAAACGGAAAAAGGAGACTCCACGCACGTAGCTCCAACCGCCGATGATAGTCCCGGGCCTAGGGTCGACACACAGCGGGAATTTGACCGAGAATCTGACTGACGGCTGCCGAGAAACGAGAGGAATCTGGACTGCGTGAAAATTCCAGCGCTGGGACCAGACGAACCGACAATAGCGGAAGAACCAGACGCAATCCCTGGCGGCACGGAACCGGCGGAAGCTGAAGAGGCTTGACGGAGGCTACCAGAGGTAATTAGACTAAGGCGCGCGGATGACGCGATTCGGCGACACACTGCCGTGAGGGAGAATGCAGACGCCATGGAATGAACAAGATGAATTTGTTCATGCACGTCCCAATTCCGCGCGCAAGGGAACGGGGAGGCGCAATCCTTGTGCATGGGCAGGGGGGGCAGCGGAAGGTGGGGGAAGTTTTCAGAACATGCACGCCAGTACACTCAATAGAAACATCAGTTGAGACTGTTGTCCATATGCCACAAAAACTAACATGAATAAATCGAACAGCTAAAAATCTAGAGGAACTCAAAGCCTCCTCTATATTTGTAATAGGAGCTACCAACTCATCGGTTCGCCCCAGTTCTTGTGTGAAATCTACAAAATACATCCTACAAGAAGCGCATTATGCATGAACAGCATACATCAGGGAAAAAAAAACAAGTCTTGACTCCGAGACAGGGCTCAGGTTTGCAGTGTAATTTAACCTTCTATACTGATTACAAGGGTGAATTTTTGGGTCTACACTGATGTGCTGGGGTGATTTTTTGGTGAGTTAGTGTTACTCTGATCTGTAAGTGTAATGATTTAGGCCACACTGATGCTCTGGGGTAATTTTTCCCTTGCGAAGATTACCCTGAAGAGCGTACAGGGACTCCCCCCCCCCCCTCGGAAACTCTACTTATTGAGAAGAAGTTTCCTAGAGCTTTCGTAGCGATACACCCAATTTCGTAATGATGCACTACGACGCCAGCACACGTGAGTACTGACAACCGACACCGTGTCACTCCCTGTCTGCTTGCAACCTACCCGTTACTGTAGAGGCGATGCAACCTGATTGGTCGAAGCTGCACTCTCTGCAAGAACGTCAACTTTCTTGACTCGGAAATTTGGGACTCGAGGTTTCCGAACACACTCGAAATTTGCTGACTTGGCAAAAAATACAAGTGTTGCAGCGAAACCAGACAAGCCACTGCGCTCGACTTTTGAGTTCACATCACAACTCCCACCCACCAGCGCCCAACTTACGATAGTAATCGTGCGCGATTTGGGCCTCGAGCTTGATTGCAGCCAGCACATATTGAGCAGCCTAAAGTACAATCAGGGTAAAAAATATACCTACACTGATGCCTCTGGGTAAAGTTTTCAAAACTTCAAGTTACACTGATCCATCAGTGTTTCCAAAAAGGGCACACTGCTCAGAAGGGTTTTGAAAATGTCTACACTGCTAATCGTGAGTAGGCAAAATCCAAACCTAAGCCCTGCTCCGAGACCACTCAGCGCGAGAAATCGTTTCGGGCAAACAGCACTTCCGGATAGAAGCTGCCAAGGAAAAGTCAACGAAACAAGGTGTACGAAATTGCAGTCACACAAACAACAGAAGAATCACAGCAGGGAGCCTCATGAAACGTGTGGGATTCAGTCAGTGTGCTGGTGATCAACTGTAGGAGGTGGGGTACAGTGAAATCAAGAGGACAAGAACAGTACCGTGCAACACAAAACGGAAGCATATGCATGCTGCACAAGACGACAAAAGGAAGAACCAATATTGAGGCTTGAGGGGAAAGCAAGGTGCTGCACTGACCTTGCAATGACCTGCCGGCCTCCGAACCATCTGTTGTGCAGCGATTGCTGCGCTGCCTGTGCCTCTGCTCCCATGGGCACCACATTGAACACCAAGAGAAGAGTGCACGGCATGCGATTGCCATGCCATGCCATGTCAAACACAACATGCCATGCAAACAAAGTTGGAAGGAACAAATGAAGAGCTGTGTGTAAGTGTGCTGTGTTTGAGTGAGCACATTTTTCAAGTCCATGTGTGCGTGTGTGAAAGAGAGGAAGGGTACAGGGAGACAAAGAGAGGGAACCAGCCAGCAAGAGAACAAGTGGAAGGCTGAGGGAAAGGGGGGGAAGAGGGCGGGTAGAGGAATGGGGGAAGGAAAAAGGGGAGGTGGGTGAGGTGGGTGGGGCGGTTGGAGGAGCATGAATCATTGCTTGAAGCTTCACCTGGGGTGCTTGAGAAGAGAACAAAGATCTTCACAATCGCATCGCCTGGCTTCTCCGATTGTTGCTCCTGCACACAGGGCACCGAACGGGCAGCAGGAATGGGGGAAGCGGTGAGCCACAAGCACGATCACTTTAGAACCCGGAAAAACCTGGGCAGAAACCAAAAAACCGATAAATTTTCACCTGAAGGCATTCACCTATCAGGTGTTCACCTGAGAGCATTCACCTGACAGGTATTCACCTGAGAGCATTCACCTGACAGGTATTCACCTGAGAGCATTCACCTGACAGGTATTCAACTGAGAGCATTTACCTAACAGGTATTCACCTAAAAGCATTCACCTGATGAAAGAACTACCCACCTGGTAGATGACAACCCGCTCCACCTTTCCAAACTTGCCACATTCGTCTGTCACCTGTATTAGAAGGGAGACGGCATGGGTAGAGGGGCATGAGACATGGGGAGGCACGGAGTGAGGAATCGAGGGTTTAAAGTATCGCGAAAGAACTTGTGAAAGAAGCTGAGTCGCTTTTGAGTGCTCTTCAAGCAATGGACTGGTCACTGAGGTTGGTCGATCAGACGAAAACATGTTGCAGTTGCAAGCGGTAATATTAGGGTTGTATGGGATCATCTGCCATGCCCATGCCCATGCCCATGCCATGCCCATGCCCATGCCCATGCCCATGCCCATGCCCATGCCCATGCCCATGCCCGTGCCCGTGCCCATACCCATGCCCATGCCCATGCCCATGCCCATGCCCATGCCCGTGCCCGTGCCCGTGCCCGTGCCCGTGCCCGTGCCCATGCCCATGCCCATGCCCATGCCCATGCCCATGCCCATGCCCATGCCCATGCCCATGCCATGCCCATGCCCATGCCCATGCCCATGCCCGTGCCCGTGCCCATACCCATGCCCATGCCCATGCCCATGCCCATGCCCATGCCCATGCCCGTGCCCGTGCCCATACCCATGCCCATGCCCATGCCCATGCCCGTGCCCATGCCCATGCCCATGCCCATGCCCATGCCCATGCCCATGCCCATGCCCATGCCCATGCCCATGCCCATGCCCATGCCCATGCCTGGCAGATAATCGCATGTGCTGCCTGCCCTCACCTCGCTCTGCAGGTCATCATCCACCTCCTCTGGAGTGACCATGTTCCGCATCACGATGCAGCGACAGGGGGACGCTGGCAGGGACGCCGCCGCCTGGTGTGGACAGATGCAGAGGGCAGGGGCGAGGTGGAGGGGTGGCGGGAGGGGGGGAAAGGGGAGGAACAAAGTTGAGTCTTGAGATGTCTCAGAGCCACCTCCTCCGGGGTGACCATGTTCCGCATCAAAATGCAGCGACAGGGGGACGCAGGCAGCGACACTGCTGCCTGGAGGGACGGACAAATGGAGAGAGGTGGGGAAGAGGCGGGGGAAAGGGCAGGTGGAGAAGCAGGGAAAGGCGGGGGGGAGAGAACGGGAGAGAACGAGAGAGAACGAGAGAGAACGAGAGAGAAAAGCGGCCGTGAGTTCATATGGGAACGCAAGTGCGCAGATATAAGGAAAGAAACGCATGGCACGCATGGCATGTAACCTCGGAGACCTGAAAAGGATTTTGGAAGTACCTGAAAATGCCCATCTGGGAATGCCAGTCTTACCTCTGCTGGGGAGGCAGCAGCAACAGCGCCAGGCACTGCACCCATCAGCCCGGCCCCTCCTGCTGCTGCGGGCAGGGCAGCCCCAGGGAAACCCGGGATAGCCGGCATGCCTGGAATGGCGCTTGGGAAGGCGGGTGGTGCTGGTGAGGCAGAAGTTGGGGCGTGGGATGCTGAAGCCCACCCGACCTGCGCTGCGGCACGGAGGCAAGGGCGTGAAATGAACGTGCAGGAGAAGAGCACGCGAGAATCCAAATTAAGAGCAGGCATGCTTGGAATGCCGCTTGGGAAGGCGGGTGCTGTTGGTGAACCAGCAGTTGGGGCATGAGAGGCTGAGGCCCACCCGACCTGGGCGAAAAGAAGGGAGGGAGTGTGGAGTGAGTGGGAAGGAAGGTAGGCGAGGAGGCGGAAGGCAGGTGAGAAACCATCATTGACTGGTGGGGCGGCTGTTGGGAGCGTGGTGCCCATGCCGTGCCATGTCATGCCCTTTCAACGCAATGTGAGCAGCAACCACCCATTTGAGCAGTCTGCCACCCATTTGAGCACTCTGCCACCCATTTCGGCAGTCTGCCACCCATTTCGGCAGTCTGCCTGCCACCCATTTCAGCAGTCTACCGCCTGCCTTGCGGTGTTCCCACCCACCCGCCTTAAGCTGTCTGCCACCCACCTTGAGCTGTCTGCCACCCACCTTGAGCTGTCTGCCACCCATTTCGGCAGTCTGCCTGCCACCCATTTCACCGCCTTAAACTGTCTGCCACCCACCTTGAGCTGTCTGCCACCCGCACCCGCCTTGAGCTGTCTGCCACCCACCTTGAGCTATCTGCCACCCACCTTGAGCTGTCTGCCACCCACCTTAAGCTGTCTGCCACCCACCTTGAGCTGTCTGCCACCCAGTTGAAACCCATTCATGCACTGAATGGCACCCTTGGCTGCTTCCTCTGTCTCAAACCTGCAAACACGGCGCAGGGAAGGGAGGGGGGGGAGGAACGAGGAGGAGAAAGGGCGGGGGGAGAGGGGGTGGGGGGAGGGGAGAGGGAAGAGAGGGGAGGGTTGTAAGGGATGATGACATCAACTGTGGGAACAGTAAAAAACCGGCTACAGCCTCAACTAGACAAGGCCAAAAAGAAAAAAAAAGAAGAAAGAAAGAAAGAAAGAAAGAAAGAAACAGACAAACATTGTTCCAAAAATGAATCACACTTGCACATGGAGTGAAAAAACACGCACACAATCGCACCACAAACAGCAGAAACGGAGTGAAACGGGAGAAACTAAGAAGTAGGAGAAGCCGAGGAAAGAGGCGGGGTAACAAGAACGTTGACTCACTCAACAAAACCGTAGCCCTTGTGCTTGCCCGTGTCAGGGTTGGGAATGAGCTGGCATGACTGCAGATTGAATGATCGGGTGGGACAGGGGGACAGGGAATGAGCAAAGAGGCGGAGTGAGCAATATAGCATTAGGTTCACTCAAGGCCAAGGAAGCATTGGGAAGGGGGAGTGGGGAAGGAGGGAAGCAGGATACGAGGAAGAAACGTGAGAGACTGCAGCGGTGGCTGAGAGATTTGGTAAGGATGGTAGACTGCAGCAACAATGACTTGCCGAAGCAGAAAATTGCACATTGATGGGTAACAAAAGAACGCACCTTGATGGGGCCGAAGGCCTGGAAGATGGCCATGATATCCGGTTCTGCAAGGTCATACACGATGGACCCCACATACAACCGACCCCACATACAACCGACCCCACATACAACAGACCCCACATACAACCGACCCCACATACAACCGCGTGTTCACCGCTGGCTCTGTGGCACCAATGCATGCCCCAGCAGGCCCCGCACCCCCCCACAACCCCCACAGCCCCTCAGAGCCGCAATTCAGACCCACCTTGATGGGGCCGAAGGCCTGGAAGATGGCCATGATGTCGGGCTCTGCAAGGTCGTAGACAATGGAACCCACATACACCCGCGTGTTCACTGCTGGCTTCTGGGGCACCTCTGCCACCCCTGGGACCTTCTGGTTGATGCTGCTCGCGATCACCTGCGAGCAAATAGATATGGGGCAGTGAACAGTGGGTGGGCAGTCAAATATGGGGCAGTGAACAGTGATCTATGGGCCAGGCAAAAAAGGCCATGCTCCCAGGCCAGAAAACAGCCTGGAAAGAATCATAGAGCCACACCTGAACGTCAAACCAGCTAAAAGCCCACCTAAACCCCAACCCACCTGAACGGCACCTTAAACCCCAACCCGCCTGAAACGCCACCTGAACCCTTAAACCACCTGAAGGGCCACCTACACCTGCAATGCGAACTCACCTGCGCCTGGAGCTTGGCAGTGGCGAGGAGGTTGGGGTTGGGTGCCGCCAATGCAGCTTGGTTGAACGCGAGAGCTGGTGCCGGTCAGAGAGAGAGGCAGAGGGGCAGAGGGGCGAGAGAGTGGGGCAGGGGGGCAAATGGGCGGAGAGAGAGGAAACGAGGGGCAGAGGGGCGGAGGGAGAGGGGAAAAGAGGGGGAGGGCAGCAAAGGGGGCATAGGAATGAGAAGGGCACATTTGTGTCTTCCTCGAATGTGCCTTCCTCCCGAGGTGTTCCAATGGGAGGAAGAAGACACATTCGAGGAGATGAGTGGCCGATAGGGTTGGGGGAAGGGAAAAGGAGACAGCTTCTGAGGCGCCTTAAAAAGAAATTCAAAGAGATCAGTGGCAGAGCGAGAGGGGGGGTGGGTGGGTGGGTGGGTGGATGGGGGAGGGAAGTGGAAACAAAGGCGATGAGAGGAAGGACACAGGTTGAGGGGGCACAGGTTGAGGGGCCACAGGTTGAGGGGGCACAGGGCACCACGGTTGGGGATTCAGGACAGGGCAGCGCACTCACGGTTGGCAATGGTCTGCGCAGCAGGCGAAGGGGAAGCGATGTTGTTGGGACGGCCGACCTTGATGCGCCTGATGCATGGTTGTCGTGGGGAAAGGAGGGGAGGGGGAAGCGGGAGGGGGAGGGGGAAGGGGGAGGTAAGGACAAGAGCTGAGTGGTGGGGGAGGGACGGAGAGGGGGAGAGGGGAAAGAAAGGTGGGCTGGGGAGAAAAGGGGAGGAACTTAGGGCAGGAGGGAGCGTGAAGGGAGACGAAGATAGGCTGAACATACGAGAGAATCCTTACGAGAAAAATTAGTGGGACAGGTGGGGAAGAGAGAAAGAGCTGAGAAAAAAAAAATCGGGAGGGGGGGGGGGGGGGGGGGGGGGGAGAATCTCATAGGACATGCTGGGAGAGGTGACGCCAAGCTAGAAGACACAGATGCGTGAAGCAATAACAAGGGATGAGTGCTAACAAACAGCCGATTGTTTCCTTTATTCCAAAACGTAAAAAAGCACATGTTCCAGGAAAGGACGAGCTTTGATGAGCGTGCATTGTTGCATGAAGAAAGATTCACAGATAAATACCATTGGTCGCAAGGCTTCAAAGGACAAATGATAATTTTAGGGAGGGTTGATGTGTGCACTTGTGAAGAAAAAAGCAGTGATAGAAAAGAACGGGATTATAGGCCACAAACCATCAGACGCAGCACCAGCACAGCAGCAACACCAGGGCCTCCTTTTGCACCCCTTGGCCCCGTTGGTGGAGCAGGCGATCAAATCGGCAGCGTTCAAGAAAACGAAGGGTTCTATTGTTCCGAGGTTTAAGATTTTCATGAGCTTTATACTCGTGTGAGTGCAGGTGGGCTGGAAAAAGCTGCATGTGTGGTGCATGCTGGGTGATTTGCGGAAATCTGGTGCTTATAACGGGAGGACATGTGAGGTGTTTCTTTTAAATGCGTGTGACTGATGGGGGGTGATGTTGCAGGATAGGAGGCATGCAACAGCAGCAGGTGAAAACGGAGAAAACAAATTGTGGCAAAAATGGAAGGAAAAGATAAAACAGGGGCAGACAGGTAAAGATACGCACAGACGCAGAAAAGGCAGAAACAGAAGAGAAAGAAAAGGAAAGAAAGAGAGAGAAAGAAAGACAAACGCAGGGAAACGAAAGCAGAGGGAAAAGAGGGCAGAGATACGCACGTACAGAGAGAAAGGCCAGAACACGATAATTAGCCAAGACGGCTTGTGACGCAGCTCAAAAGTAAAGGCAGAGCACAGTAACAGCCGAGACGAATGAAGCGATCTAACGGATCACAGCTGACGAGCCTAGGAATGTTGGTTCTGGTTAGACGCGCTTTACGAAGAGTCTCTAACCACCGGCGTCCGTTTAGTCGTGATGCGAAGCAGTGAAGTGAAGAGTAAAAAACGAAGACAAGCCCTTACACTTCGCGGTTTTCAACGCTACACCCGCGGGTGCAGCGACTACATTTGAGCAGGCGAGCAAGAGTTAGTACCGGGCATCAAGTGAGACGCGTGATCGGGTGGTCTAAATACAAGCCAGCCAGTGAGAGGCAAGAAAGTGTGGGCTAAGTACCGGCCGGCGAGGGTAAAGTCGTTCATGGCAGCGATGGCAGTGGAGGCGGTTTCAGGGTTGGTGAACTCGATGAAACAGAAACCCTTGTGCTTGCCCGTGCTCGCGTCCTGAGACAAGTTGGGAGGGCAAAAGGAACAGATGTAGAAAAATGGTCAGGTTGGCAAACAAGAGGAAACAAGAGAGTAACAAACAATGGGAACACACATGTGGGAAGATAACACACACGACGTGGGATGGACTGAGGGGTGGATGGGAAGAGAAGCGCACAAACACACACACACACACACACCTTGGGCATGTCGATCTTGGTGATTGGACCTGATAGGAGGGCAGCACAACAAGCGCGCACAACAATGGCATGCATCAGTGGTGGGTACAAAATTGGTCATGCTTTTGAGGCGCCTCAAAAGTCGTCTCATTACGCACAACAATGGCATGCATCAGTGGTGGGTACAAAATTGGTCATGCTTTTGAGGCGCCTCAAAAGTCGTCTCATTACGCACAACAATGGCATGCATCAGTGGTGGGTACAAAATCCGTCACGCTCTCCCCATCCAATCCACCCAAGCACCCCAGGTCATTGAAAAAAGAAACACGAGTCAACCAGGCCACTCGAGGCAACCCAGCCAGCAAAGCGCATGAGGCGCGTACCAAAGGGGGAGAAGGCGAGGAGAATATCAGACTCGGTGAGGTCGTAGAAAATGCTTCCCACATACACGCGGCACTGGGCTGCAGAGGGGGGTGAGTGGGAGGAGGCATGGAGTGGTGAATGCGAGGTAAGGAATTGCAGGCACTCAGGCCCTATGGTGAGAATGTCGGACTCGGAGAGGTCGTAGAAGATGCTTCCCACGTACACGCGGCACTGGGCTGTAGGGGATTGTGGGGGGGGGGAGATGGGGATGGGGATGGAGATGTGCGAGGGGGAGAGAGCAGGTACTCAAGCACTTTTGGCTAGAATGTGAGACTCGGTGAGGTCGTAGAATATGCTCCCCACGTACACGCGGCACTGGGCTGTAGGCAAATGGGAGGGAGGAGAGAGGGAGTGGGGGAGGGAGGGAGTGAGTGAGGGAGGGAGGGAGGGAGGGAGGGAGGGAGGGAGGGAGGGAGGGAGGGAGGGAGGGAGGGAGGGAGGGTGCGCGGGGTGGGATGGTGAGGTGACGCTGCGGTGCTGAGATGCGGCGCCACTCATTCGCCATATTCCACTGACTGAGTGTTTTGAGACGTCTCAAAACACTCCTTCTTTCAGATGCGATGCCACTCATTCGCCATATTCGACTGACTGAGTCGCTGTGGACTGCTGCTGCTGCTGCTGCTGCTGCTGCTGCTGCTGCTGCTGCTGCTGCTGCTGCTGCTGCGATTTGACTCGACTCGAAAGACGCTGACCTACAGTCAAAACACGCTGCGGTGCTGAGATGCAACGCCAGCCACTTACCATTCGACTGGGTCGTTGTGGCCTGCTGCTGCTGCACCGCTGCTGCCTCCGCCATCTTCGCCTGAGCCAGCGCTCGCATCTGCACACGCACGGAGTCAACGCGACAAAGTCAACAGGCGGTCAAAATCGAGGTGACTTTCAAGTCGACTCAAAAGTTGCGTGAGCCAGCGCTCGCATCTGCACACGCACGGAGTCAACGCTAGACAACAGGCGGTCAAAATCGAGGTGACTTTCGAGTCGACTCAAAAGTTGCGTGAGCCAGAGCGCTCGCATCTGCAAACGCACGGAGTCAACGCGACAAAGTCAACAGGCAGTCAAAATCCTCAAGTCACCACGAAGGAAACAAAAGAATGAACGAAACCAGACTACCACGCGATTTCCCACACGCGGATTCCGGAACGCGAGTGCACATTTCGGAAACACTGCCGCAACAAAACCAGACGAAAGCAGTCACCTACGACGATCTGAGAAGCGTCTACAAGACAGCTGCGCCTGCTGCAAGAGAGTAGACTCAAAAACCACTTGCGATTCTGCCAATCACCTGGAGAAGCTGCTGTTGCTGCAGCAGCTGCGCCTGCTGCGCCATGGCCGCTCCCGGCATCATCATCGCCGCTGCAGCGCCGGGGAGAATGCCTGCACCCAGTGGCATTCCAGGAATACCGGGAATCGCGGGGGCTCCTGGCAGAATGCCGGCTGCGCTGGGAGTGCCTGGTGACGCTAGGACAGCAGGAGACTCGACTGCGGTACGGAAAAGGGAAACGAACACGAGAGAGGCCGAGACAGGGTTGTGATCGGTGGGAAAGAAGAGAAGATGCAGGAAAAAAAATAGTCGATTGCGAAACGGCGTAGCCGATTGACGTAACATTTGCCGAACGAATATAAGAAAAAAACGGAACAGAGGAGGAGGCATGCAGCACACAGCGGCGTGCAACCCGCTGTTGCGTGCTCGCCACGCACGCACGTTTCTTGCCGTCAGGGCCCTCCGTGTCCCAAAGGCTCTTGCGCTTCCGTCGCCGCTGACCCGTGCCTTCCTCGCCCGCCGGCTTCTCCTCCGTCTTCGCAGCTTCCTTCGCAGGCGTCGTCGCAGCCTCGGCTTCAGCCTTCGACTCCTCGCCGTTTGCTTCAGCGGGTTCGCCACTTGCCGGCTCCCCGTTCGTGCTCGCCGGTTCAGCGTCAGGCTTCGTCGCTGCATCGTCAGTAGCAGCCGCAGCGGCGTCGTCGCTTGGAGGAGCAGCAGCAGGAGGCGAAGATTCTACAACGGCGTCAGCAGCTTCACCCTCGCTAGCCTTAACTTTTTCGGACGTCATGTTGCCAGGAAAATAGAAATCGACACCAAGAGACCCCAAAAGAAGTAGCAATCGTAAATCTGAGTACTAAACTTAGAAGATCGTAGATAAGAAAGAAATAGGAGACCTAAACCAGATCTGTGTGAAAGACAGCAGACAACAGAATATGAGTTCGGACTATCTTGAACCCACAAGGCAGGTGCTTGAAATTGGCTGTTTGGCAAAGAAGATCCGTTTGTGGTTTCGCGCAATACGGTCACCATTCGGTTTACAAATATGAAACATATGCAGACATACAGCACAATGCTCTGTTTCGAAGTATCTGGAAGCCTATTTGCAATGTTCGGAGTCACTTCGCGAAAGGATGATTTACCCGCACTACCGATTTTATCCGATGAAATGTGCAACTGGAGCGAAAAATGCCAACTTCCTTTTTCCCCCTACAGAACGTCTCGACTCCTGATCCATTCAGTGGAAATTGCCAGGCCGTTTCACACGCCCTTCGATCTCAACACAAGCCCTTCGATCTCAACACAAGTCCTTCGATCTCAGCACAAACCCAAATTCACCCACCACCAGCAGTTGACGTGTTCGAGTTCTGGGTAGCCTACCCGAGAAAAGGATTCCACAACCTAGATTGTATCACCACCCAGGTTGACTACATCGAGATTGTCACCATCTAGCTCATAGGCACAATCCCACAACGTTTCATAAGAATTCAATTTCATGCGATTATAAAAATGCATAAAATAGCGGTTATATACGTTTTTGAACGGTTGAGTTGTTTCGTTGCAATCAACCCTTCCCTTTTCATCCTCTCTTCCACGGTTTCCTTTCATTGCTCTGCTGGAGTTTACAGAACAGCCTTCTGCAACATCTCTCTAGTATCTACACTAGCACACCCAGCTCTCAGTAATCACCTGACTAAGCGCCTCGTTCACGAGCCACGCGATTAGATTCTCGCTAAGATGTCGGACTCTTCCGGTTTTCAGAATGGGGGAATTTCTCTGCGTCCCCAGGATGTCAAGAAATCTCGAGGTAGGTGAATCCTTCAGGCTCGCTGGTTATTAGGGTTTCGCAGATTCTGACCGCTGCTTCGTCTCGCAGATGAATCTGGCGGAGGAATATCTGGAGGAACAGTTTCGAAAACGTCGCCTGACGGAAAAGGTATATGCAATGACGTATTCCGTTAGTCCATTAGCCTGTCAGATCTCGGAGGTTTATCGTTATCCAATAATATCTTACGCGCTTTTCCGCGACGTGTATCATCGTGCAGAGCATTCGTCGCCTGGGGACTCTTCAATGGCATTTTCGCCTCAGTGGCTCACCGCGAAGCACTCGGACTCGCGTAGTCCTGTCGGTCAGGTCAGCGGATGATTTTCTACCAAACTAACGGTTCCCTACAATGGGGTTTCCCCGAGACTGAACAAGCCGCGCTAATTTCCCGTATACCCCGGAAATGGTTACGATTCGTGCTTTCTGGTTGAGTCTAAACTCCAGCACTGGCTCTCCATTCATCCTGGATCTTGTATACTCCTCCTGAAACTTTGTCCCATTCTCCCCGCGTCTCCTCTCATTCTCACTTCTACTTGTCTCGTTCTTCCCGCATCTTGTCTCATTCTCTCGGTACCTTGTCTCGTTCCCCCCCTCCTTACGTGGCCCTTCCAGGACCCTTCTAAGCCGATGGGATATGGCCGAGGTGTCGAGGCTCCCGGCGGAAAGTGGAAGGTAGGCCGAGGGGCCGGTGCAGGCGCAGGCGTTGGCGGAGGTATAGGCGGAGGCGGTATCTCTGCGGGGGGAGTAGCAGGCGCGCCGCCGGACGAGGCGAAGCGGGAGCGTGACTGGTGGCGCAGCGCGGGCATGGATCGCGACAGGGCGAGCGACCGCTGGGGAGAGGACGAGCGCGAGCGCGAGAGCGTGGCGGGGAAGCCGCGGAACGATCCCCGCTGGGGGTCCATACACGCTCCCCCGTTGGGGGGGGAGAGCGGAAAGGAGGCGGGAGAGGGGGGCGGGTACGGCAAGAAGGAGCGCTGGGTGGATCCGCCGGGGATGGGCGCTCCCCGCCCGGGGCTTGGCGCGGGAGCGGAGGGGGGGAGTGTAGATTACCGCAAGGAGCGTTGGGCGGATAGCGGTACGCGGAGCTTCGACCAGCGCCGCGAGACGAAGTGGGGCTCGCGGTGGGGAAGCGCGGAGGAGAAGGACAAAGAGAAGGACAAAAGCGTTGTTCACAGCGAGAGCTGGGGGGAGAAAAGCGGGCATGGCGGAGGCGGGCTGCGCGAGCGCGGAACGCCGGAGTCCGCGCAGAGCGGGGGAAGTGCGCGCTGGACACTGCCGGGGGAGAAGGAATCGGACAAACCTAGGGAATACGAGAGAAGCCGCCCCGCTATCGGCGCTCGAGACAGCGACAAGGGGAAAGAGGCTGACAAAGACATAGGCGGCGGAGGGGCCGTTGGGGCTGGGGCGGGGGGGGCGGGGGGACCCGGGGGTGGTAGCTCCGGCGGAGCGGGGGGCGGAAGCTGGACTAGAGACACCACCGCGGGGAGGTCAGAGACGGGGGGAAAGTGGCGCCCGCAGTCGATCGCGGGACGGGGCCGCGGAGAGGCTCCGCCAACGGGCACTGCTACATCCTCCGCCGCCCCCTTTTCCAAGTTCCAGCCAGGGTTTGGGTTCGCGGGTCGCGGGCGCGGAGCGCCCGACGCCGCAGGAGCAGGCGCAGGCTCATCTGCCCTCGTTGCTGGCGCGGGAGGCGGAGGCTTTGCGCGGGGCCGCGGATTCGGCGGGGGGGCAGGGGGAAGCTGGGACGTTCCGGGGCAGGGCTCCAGGGCGCAGCATATCGGCGCTCCTCCCCCGGAGTCTGGCGGAGCGGGCGCTCCGCCATCCGCGGAGACGTTCAGGTACCCCCGCGCGCGGCTGCTGGAGATCTACCAAGCGCACAAGCGTGCGCCGGAGTTCAGCGCGGCAATCCCGGGGGAGTGGTCTGAGGCGCCCGCGCTTTTGGGGTCGGAGCCGCTGGTGCCCATGGCGCTGGTGGAAGCGAGCGCGGAAGAAGAGGTGAGCGGAGGGGAGGGGGGCGCGTGCGAAGGTGGATTTTACCATTTGCCAGCTGCCTGTTGCTGTTTGGCTGTTACCAACTGTGTACATCAACTGACCCGTACTGTTTGATTGTTATAATATAGATGTTACTGTTTGAATGTGCCTATCTGGGCGTGCAGGCGGTGATGACGGCGATTGAGAGCGGGGAGAGTGTGGGCAGCGGCGTGGTGCATGCATCCAGGGACATGTGCGCTCAATGTTCACCTGTGATTACCTGACTGATACCATCTGAATGTTACTGTGTGGTTGTGCCTCTGGCTGGATGTGCAGGCGGTGATGGCGGCGATTGAGAGCGGGGAGATCGTGAGCAGTGGCGTGGTGCACGCGTCCAGGGACAAGGACGCGCCGCCGCGAGATAAAGCTGGTATGTTTTTTGGATTGGCGGATAAAGAGCAGAGCGGGGAGGGCCGGGACACGGTTAAACAACACGGTACATTTTCTGAAGTTTTTTTTAAATGCAATGACGTGTCGTTCGGAACAGGGAGGAGGAGATGGGGAGGCATGGGACGCGAATGATAAACTCAGCTCGAGTTTCTAGTCGACTAGAAAAGTGAGCGAAATTTGAGAATTCTCAAAAGTCGACTAGAAAGGTGGCTCATTACACGCGGGAGGCATGGGACGTCTGGTGGTCTGGAAGCAAGCATGGGAAGGAGCTGGGAGCGTGTGGGCTTAGTTGGCTCATTTCCAGGTTTCACACGCCTGTGATGTGATCCCTATGACGTGTATCCTGGCTTTCATGTCTAATGTACAATCTGCCTTTTTCCCTCTTTCCCTCCGCTTTTGATTCCTTCCCCTCACCCTCCGTCTGATGTATTTGCAGCACAAGAAGGCGACAAACGCCCTCCCACGCATGCACCTGGCACAGCAGCAGCCACCCACCCAACCGACCACCCCACCCAATCTTCCCCAGCTTCACCTCCCCCAGGCTCCACCTCCCTCTCTCCCTCAGCCAAACCCACCACCACCACCCCGTCCGTCCCACCTGAAAAGCTCCTGCTACAGTACCGCGACCCTCAGGGGGAAGTTCAGGGGCCGTTCCCAGGAGAGGACATCATGGGGTGGTACGAGGCGGGGTTTTTTGGACTGGAGCTGCCGGTGAGGCCGGTGGATCCGGGGACGGGGGAGGCGGCGCCTGGGGTGCAGTTTTTGCCACTGGGGGATGTTATGCCGCATCTGAAGCCCTCTGCTAAGGTTCCTCCTGGCTTTGCCGCTGCTGCTGGCGCTGCTGGTGCTGCTGGTGTTGGTTCTGCTAGTGGTGGTGCTGGTGGGGGTGCTGCTACTGCTGCTGCTGCTGCTCCTGGTGCGGCTGCTGCAGGGGCTGCAGCAGCAGCTGACGCCACTCGTGCTGCTGCCGCCGCTCCTGCCGCTGCTCCTACCAAGCCTGGCGCTACTGCTGCTGGTGCTGCTACGGGTGCTGCTGCTGCTGCCGGCGGTGCAATGGCGGGTGCTGCAGGGGTCATTCTGGGGGCTATTCACGCTGGCAGAGGTGAGCCTCTTAATTCCTTCAACCAATCTACTTTTACTCCTCCATTGTTTGCTTCTCCCCGCCCCTCTTTGCAACCCCCATATCCTCCCCCCCTTCCCAGCCACCCTCCCGCCCTCCCAACCCCTTGACAATCCTTCTTTTTGTACACTTTCAAATCTTTTCCCCGCTTGGCGCCTGTAAACCGTAACCCTGTAACATGCAGTGCCTACGTTTCCCCCCGTAGCATTGCAGCGCCTTGCACAACACCATCACTGCTGTAGGCTCCACAGAGCCATAGACCACTAACCTCTAAACCCTCAAATGCCTAGTTTAGCACACTCAGCAAGTCAAGCATCTTATCCTCCTCCGTCCCATACCATTGTCTCTTGTCCAGGCGTGGACGAGCCAGGCGCCCTTTACCAAGCCTCCTGGCCAGCTCCGGGCGCGGAGGAGCTTCGGGCCGAGCCGGGGGTGCATGGGGCGGGAGCGGGTGTGGCTGGAGCGGTGGGTGCTGGAGCGGCATCAAGGTCGTTTTCCAGTCTTGATGCGCTGGCTCAGGTGTGTTTCAAAGTGATCACTTCTAAGTCCCTTACTGTTTTGCTGAAATTGGAGCTGTGGGCGCTGGAGCAGCATCAAGGTCGTTTTCAAGTCTCGATGCGCTGGCTCAGGTGTGTTGTGAAGCCAGGGTTTAGGGTTTCTAGCCAGTCTGTTGTAATTGCGAAACCCTTTCTGTGTTCGCTTTGCTCTTCGTCTCTCACCTTCCTTCTACCCCTGTGTCTTCATTTTTTGCCCACTGCTTGCGTTCTTGCCACTCAGGGTCATCGCACCCCCTCGCCCTCTCCTGCTCTCTATGACCAATCGCACCCACCACCACAGCAGCAACAGCAGCAGCAGCAGCAGCAGCAGCACCAGCAGCAGCAACAGCAGCAGCAGCAACAGCAGCCGGCGCACCTGCCACTCACCCACGAGCCGCTACCCTCCCTCCTCTCCCACCTCCTCTCCCATCCGCAGCAACCCCAGCTCCAGCAGCTTCAACAGCAGCAGCAGCAACCGCCACAGCAGCAGTTGCCACTGGCACAGCAGCCGCCGCAGCAGGCGCCACAGCAGCTGCCATCCGCCCTCTTGCCAACCCTCCCACCCCCGCGAATTACTCTAGCGCACCTCCATCACCCCCTGCACCCGCTCCTGCACCCTGCTGCCGCCGCTACTGGGCTAGGCCCAGCCACGCTCTACCCTGGAGCCGGGGGTCCGATTATAGGGCAGGATGAGTTAAGTCTACGAATGGTAGAGGCGCTGGTACATGCCGGTATTCCCAAGGATGCTCCGTTAGAGCAGCTGCTGCAGCACCCGCCTATAACGGATCTGCTTATGCGCGTACAGCAGGAGGTGGTGCAGCAGAGGGAGCAGCGGGAGGCGCAGCTGAGGGAGGTGCAACTGAGGGAGGCGCAGATGCGAGAGGCGCAGTTGAGGGAGGTGCAACTGAGGGAGGTTCAGATGCGGCTGCAGCAGTCTCTGGCTCTGGATACAGGTGCTTCCGGGGGAGGTTTGCCTGAGGGGGTGGGAGTGGCAGGTGCGGCTGGCTTGCCACACGTGTTGGCGAAAGAGGGCGGGTTACCAGAGGTTGTAACGGAGGAAATGGCGTTACAGATGCACCTGTCGTCGCTGCTTATGTCAGGCAGGCCGGTTGATGCCCAGGGAACGCAGCAGATTCAGCAGCAGTTGCAGCAGGCGCGATTCTTGCAAGGGCCAATCCCCGGGTCAGTCCCTCCCCCGTGGTTGCAGCAGCACCCTTCGCTGCCGCCCCCCCCTTTTGGCCAACCGCTCTTGCCGCCGTTCCCAGGCGCCCCGATTCCTCCCCAGCAGCAGGGACAGCAGCAGGGGCAGCAGCAGGAGCAGCCGCAGCAGCAGCAGGGGCAGCAGGGGCAGGGACAGCAGCAGCCTTTGCAGCAGCAGGTGCCACAAATTCCCCTTGGTATGCTGCCCGGTCACTACCCTCACCCTCTTCCGCTGCTAGCTCAGGAGCAGCTTCAGCAGCAGCTGATGCAGCAGCAGATGTTGCAGTTGCAAGGAGGGCAGACGCAGGGAGATGGTCAGGCCTCGGCCCGAGCTGACGTGCTGCAGATGCAGCAGCAGCTGCTGCTACAGCAGCAGGGGATGGGGCAGCAGCAACCCCAGCAGGAGCAGCCGCAGGGGCAGCAGCCGCAGGGGCAGCAGCAGCAGGGGCAGCAACAGCAGGGGCAGCCGGCAGCAGAGCCACAGCGGCTGTCATACTCCCAGCTGCTGCGGCAGGACAATCAGGCAGAGGGCGGTGCCTATGCTGCTGTGCAGTCCACCCAGACCCCCCCTCAGGCTGTAGCTCAGGTGGTGGAAGGGTCGGTCGGGGCAGAGCAACAGGGTAAGGCAGAGGACACGGCTGGACACCAGCAGCAGCAGCAGCAGCAGAAAGAGGGAGGGGAAGGGGAGGGTGAGGCGTTGAAGGGCTTTGCAGATCAGGGCGATGGGGCAGGGAAGGGAGATGAGGTGGCGGCTGCTGGGGATGCAGAGGCGGAGGAAGGGCAGGGAGAGGCTATGAGCGTTGGTGGTAAAGGGAAGAAGGAGGAGGTTGTTAACGAGGATAAGACAGGTGCGGATGATACGGATGAGGGTTCTCAAACGCTTTCAAAGAAGGAGCTTAAGAAGCTGAAAAAGAAGAAGCAGAAGGAGGAGCAGTTGCAGCTGCTGCAGGAACGGAAGGAGAAGGAGAAGGAAAAGGAGAGGGAGAAGGAGAAGGAGAAGGAGAGGGAGAAGGAGAAGAAGGAGAAGGAGAAAGAGAAGAAGCAGCAGCAGAAGCAGAAGCAGCAGCAGCAGCAGGTTTCCACCAATGAGCCAAGCACTAAGCCACTCTCTTACAGCGAAAAGGCAGCAGCAGGAGGAGGAGAAGCAGCATCAGCAACAGCTGCTGCATCCCCAGCACCCGCTGCTTCCCCCTCTGCTACCTCCACAGATGCCCTTCCCAAGCCATCCACCCCACCTGTCCCCGCCTGGAAAGCCCCTACTGTCCCCGCCAAGTCCCTTGCACAGATCCTAGAGGAAGAGGCAGCGGAAGCAGAGAGGCAGAGGGAGGAGCAAGAGCGGCGAATCCAGGCAGCCATTGCAGCAGGCGAGGTGATTGGGGGGCCTGGTGGGTTTGGCAGCGGCAGCGGGGGGGTAGGAGGAGGAGGAGGAGGAGCCACTGTCTGGGGCAACGCTGGGTCTCCTTCTGTTATGTCTCGGAAAAAATCCCTTAAGGAGATTCTGGAAGAGGAGGCTGCTGCGGCAGCGGCAGCGGCAGCGGCAGCGGCTGCAGATACTGCAGCGGCTAGAAGTGCGGTTACCGCCAGTGCGGTGCTTTTCCCCCAGCCGCCTTCTCTGGAGCCTAGAACTGGGGCGAGTTTGTTTGATCCCCTTAGCGGCAGGGGGTATTCCAGTCCGGCTGGAGCAGGGGTGGCTGCAGGCGGGGTTGGGAGCGGTTCAGGGCGGTTGGGAGGAGGAGCGGGTGCAGGCTCAGGTGTTTCAGGTGTTTTGTCAGGTGGTTTCAGGGATCCTCTGGCAGAGGAGATTCTTGGATCCGCTTCCTCTATGCTGGATGATGCAAGGGTAGAGCTGACCAAGAGCGAGTCCGGCTCGTCTGCTGCTGCTGCTGCAGCGGCTGCGGCGGCTGCTGCCGAGGTGGATGATTCAGAATTTGTGGAGCCGAAGGAATTGAGGAAGAGCAAGAAGAAGGGTGCCAAAGGGAAGGGCGGCAAATCGCCGCCCTCGTCCTCCTCTGCTGCCTCTGCTGCTGCCACTGAAGCTGCTGCAGCTGCTGCTGCTGCCCTCCCTGCTGCTTCTCTCCCTGTCGCCACTACCAGGTCTGCCTCTGCTGGTGCCTCAGCTTCCCTTTCCGCAGCAGCAGCGGCAGCTGCGGCGAAAGCAGCAGATGAGATTCCTGCTCCACCCGCTCCTTCTTTGGCTGATTTCCTTATGGTTCCGGGGCTGATTCCCGGAGTTAGCCCCTCGGCTGCCCCCGCTCCTGCCCCGGCCCCAGCCTGGTCGTCAGGTTCGGCGGGAGGATCGGGAGGAGGGAGAGGGGGCAGGGGGGCGGTTCTGTCTCTGGCAGAGATTCAGGCTGCAGAGGAGAGGGCGAAGGCAGAGGAGAGGCAGAGGCAGGAGGAGCGGGCGAGGGAAGAGGAGAGAGTGAGGCAGGCGCAGATTAGGGTTCTGCAGGAGCGGGTGGGGCCTGGTGCGTCTGCTGCTGTGCCGTCTGCTGCGGCTGCGGCTGTTGGGATGGGAGGAGTGGGCGGGGCAGGAGGTTTGGGAGGGAAGGTGAAGGGAGGTTCGGTGGGGAGTGGGAGTGGGAAAGGAGGAGGGAAGAAGCAGCAGCAGGAGAGGAAGGAGGCCGCGGTGGTGGTGGAGGAGGATGAGGACATGTTCTGGGACTACTCGTACCAGTCTAACACCAGGTTCGTTTAACAGGTTCGGTTTAGCAAGGTGACTTCTGAGTCAACTCAAAAGTCACTTGGTGGTGGAGGAGGATGAGGATATGTTCTGGGACTACTCGTACCAGTCTAACACCAGGTTCGTGCTGTGATTGGTTAACTACATGCGGCTTGTTTATGCATGTGCCACCGTCATCATGCATCGTGTTTCAGATGTGCTTGTGATGTCTCGACTAAAAAATCGACTCATCACACGCGCTTAATGCATGTGCCACCGTCATCATGCATCTGGTTTCAGATGTGCTTGTCACCCTCGTGTGCACCCCATTGCACACACACATGCCTGGAACAGCAGCCTCCTCTGTTTTTGTTTGTTTTTTTTCTTTTCTTTTTGCCAACTTGTTTACCCTCACTTGGGTGTTGCTTGTTTGCTGTGGGCTGCAGTAAGGAGGTTCCAGCAGCACCAGCAGCTGTGGAGACCAAGTCCAAGGGGTCCAAGAAGAAGGGTGCAAAGTCAACCCAGTCAGGTCAGCCTTGATGGGTGCTGTGCGGTGCCGTGTTGTGCTGCACTGTGCCGTGCCTTGGGATCAACGAGTACCTTTCTTTGAGATAATATACTCTCTGTGCTGCTCTGTCATGTCTCGTATCTGCTCTGTGTTTCACATGCCCTGTTTCCATGCCCGGCTTACCCTTTTCTCCCTTCTCCTTTCCTTTTTCCCCTGCGGCGGCAGCAGCAGCAGCAGCAGCGTCGGCTCATGTGCCCCCAGCAGAGCTCCGGGCAGCTCAGGAATTTCGGCAGTGGTGTGAATCCAACATCCTCAAGCTCACGGGCAGCCCTGGTAAGGTTTTGAGACTGGAGGCGTTTCAAAGCTTAGCATTTATGATCTCACAGAAAGTTCCGACAGTTTCAGGTGTCAATAAATGTCAGGCTATCTCGGAACTATGCTCGCAATATTATATCTGTTCTCGTTGCACCCTCTCCCCCCCTCCCCCGGCCCCCCTCACAGACCTCACACTGATTGACTTCTGCATGTCGCTGCCCAAGGCAGCAGACGACCAGGTGCGCCAGTACCTCTTCCAGTACCTCGTCTCAGTCCCACGTCTGCTCCTCCCCCCCTCCTCTCTCCCTCCTCCCTTCGCGCGTTCCCCCCTCCCTTCCCTGCCACCCCTCACAGATCTCACACTGATAGACTTCTGCATGTCACTCCCCAAGGCAGCAGACGACCAGGTGCGGCAGTACCTCTTCCAGTACCTCGGCGCTGCCCCCCCTGCCTCCGCCTTCACCTCCTCCTTCCTCTCGCGCCGATCCGCGCTCTCCCCTGCTGCTGTGCGTGTGGCCTTCCCTGTGAGTGAGGCGGTTATTCAGGATGACTCGTCTCTTCTCAGCGGTAGTAGTGGTGGCAGTGGTGCTGGTGGTGGTGGTGGGAAAAAGGGTGTGGCAGGGCAAGGCTCGGCATCCTCACGTCCTGCTGCCTCGGCTCAGGAGGAGGCTCGGAAGGTGACTGCAAGTGGATCGGGGTCTGGGAAGGCTGGGAGCGGTGGGGGTAGTGGTGCTGCTGCTGCTGCTGGTGCTGGTGGTGCTGCTTCTGGGGGCGGTGAGGGAGGGGGGGATGGGGCGGGAGGGAAGAAGAAGGGGAAGAAGGGAAAGAAGGTGGTGGATCCGTCTCTGCTGGGGTTCAGTGTTACCAGTAACCGCATCCTCATGGGTGAGATTCAGCATGTGGAGGATTAGATGTCATTCAACATACATGCAGCATGTGGAATGTCATCAGCGTGCATCCCATCCCGTCCCATGTGTGGCGATCTTTATCAGCATGTGGACGTGGGTGATTGGTGATGGATGGGGGCGGGTGGGTGGGTGGGGTGAGGAAAGGAGGCGTGCAAAGCATACAGCAGTGCAGCATAGATAGCCCATCAAGCGGAGTCCTTAGGAATAAGTATAGGTTTGACTTTTAGGAGGTTTGAAGTGCTCATGAGAGTTTCTAGACTGAACAAAGTATCCAATTTTGACTGATCAATGACACTGTTATAAATGATCCATCTTTAGTTACAAATAATACTGAGGAATCTGGATGTAGCACACTGCAGTTCGAGCAGCAGCCAATCAAGGGTCTTCAGCAGATTTGGCAAAAGGTAGTCTGACCAATCCGTCGACTCGAGACTCCTTCGCCAGGCTGGACGGGCCTCTGAGTGACGTGGTATTTCATCCCCTCGCACTCACCTCACCTTGGGAGTGTCGCGGTCCCTCCATGAATCCAGCCTGCTGTTTGCGTCCATACCACTTCCCTCACGCGCACTATGACTGGGACTGTCAGACTCCCTGTCTGTCAGCATGCATGCTTGCATTTCTATCAATCATTTAGCTTTGGAGGGTCATCAGTCACCAGCACTCCCTCTCCGACCGAAGTGTAAGCACGTCGCGCTGTGGTGGTGCGTAGTGCGGCTGGGAACGTGTAAGGGCTTCTGGCGCTAGTGGCTTATTTATCCTGAGAGCGCTGCGGGTCGTCGCTTCCCGAGCCTTAGCTAATACATCCTGCCTGAGTGGAGCTGAAACTCCCGTTAACGACCACGCGTCGATTGGTAGTCGTGCGTGCGAAACATTCGGTCGCGTGCTATCTGCTTCTATGGCATTCGCGAGCATAATTCCCGTTGCTAGCACTAGTACCACCGTCGTCTCGTCTCCGTCCGTTCAAGCCTTTCAGACCAACTTGGCCTCCTTCGGATTGCCATCGCACGGCGGTCACCGACGCGCGACATTCCCAATGACCACGACAGTATCGAGGCGTCAACGTGCTGTAGCTCCTCCTCGCGCGTCCAGCTCGGGTGGCGCGGAGCGAAGCGACGCGAGTGGCGGCGCTGGCGACACTCACGCGCATCGTGCCGACGCGCCGTCCAACGCGCAGCGTGCGGGATTGTGGCTGACTGCAGCTGCGGCGGCGGCGGCGGTTGTTGCGGCGCCTTTTGCGGTCGCGCCTTGCGCTCTCGCCGACTTCAAGGTGCGAGATGCAGCCCAATGTAACACAGCTCAGTCCCTTTCTGTTCTCTATCTTCAATGCTTACTCCCTTCCTTTATCGTAACAAGTGACTTTTTGGTCGACTCAAAGTCGCTCTCGCCGACTTCAACGTGCGAGCTGCAGCCCAATGTAACGCAGCTCAGTCCCTTTCATTTCTCTGATGAAATGCGTACTCCCTCTCTCCATCGTAACCCATGCAATGACGTTCCCATGACCCCTTTCAGTCCCTGATTTTTCCTGCATTATGTGCTCCTGCGTGCTCCCTCCCCCCAACAATTCCCCCTCCCTTTCCCTTCGCAACCCACCTCCCTCCACCCCTCGTCCTCCTCCTCCCTTTCCCTCTCCCTTCCCCGTACTTCCTCCCTTCCCCCTTTCCCCCAGACATACAACCACGCTTACCTACGCGGCGCGGACATGTCCAATCAGGACCTTTACCGATCCATATTTGCTGGTGAGGGGAGAATGGGGATAAGGGAGGGAGGAGGGGAGGGGGAAGGGAAGAGGGGGAGGCTGACGGACATGTCCAATCAGGACCTTTACCGATCCATAGTTGCTGGTGAGGGGAGAATGGGGATAAGGAAGGAGGAGGGGAGGGGGAAGGGAAGAGGGGGAGGCTGATAAACATGTCCAATCAGGACCTTTACCGCTCCATATTTGCTGGTGAGGGGAGAAAAGGGTGACAGGAACGAGAGGGGCAGCGGGAATGGAAGTGGGGGGAAGAAGTGGGCTAGGGGAGTAGGGGCGAGAGAGAGGGGTGAGATGTGACAGCTAGGGGAAAAGGAAGGAGGATGGGAGGGAAGAAACAGGTATACAAAATGGGGGGACTCTGATGTTCCCAGCTGAAAACGGATGGGCTGAAAATTCTCAAAAATACCCTGCAGGTATACAAGGTGGGGGGACTCTGATGTTTCCCAGCTCGTTTCTGAACCTGCACACCCCCCATTCCCCCGTTCCCCCATTCCCCACTCTTTCACCGCCCCCATTCCCCCCAGTCGTCAAGTTCCCATTCCCTCAGTCCCTCATTCCCCAATCCTCCCATTCTCTCAATCCCCCATTACCTCATCTCATCTCCCCACTGCCCCATTTCCCCATTGACTTTTGAGGCGCCTCAAAAGTAATTTCCCCATTGCTCCATTCTTCCCATTCCTCCAACCCAGCGTGCGACTGCAGGCTGATCAACCTGAGTGGGTCGAACCTTGCTGGCAGCACCGACACATTTGCCGGCTTTGAGCTCGCCAACCTCGAGAACACAAACTGGTGAGCTGAGCCGAGGAGGGTGTTTGCTATTTCTGCATGCTTGCTGCGTGCTTGATTGAGCTAACTAGGTGACTTGCGAGGCGCCTCAAAAGCACCGACAGCTTCGCAGGCTTTGAGCTCGCGAACCTAGAGAACACCAACCGGTGAGCAAGTGCCTGAGAGGTCTTTCTTTCAGAAACAGCTGCTGCGCGCTTTCTGAACCCTTCCCTTTCCCTATGGCTCACTTCTCCCCACCTCCCCTTCCCACCTTCCTGCCCCATCTCCCCTCCCCATCTTCCCTCCCAACCTCCCCTCCCCGTCTCTCCTCTCCACCTCCCGTCACGGCAGGGAGCGTGCTCTTGCGGACCGAGTTGTTTTCAAAGGGGCCAACCTTCGCAACGGTACTCCCTTCTTGCACATTTTTATTCTTTGCTTGCTCGCATTCCGGCTGCTCTTGCTTTCTGCAAAACAAATTCTGTTCTCTGCCGCTTCAAAATCCTAGTCGCCCCCACCATCCCTTCTCCCCCCCCCTCACCCCCTCTCTCTTCCCCACCCCTGTGCTTTTGTCGTGCGATCTTGCCGTGGTCATGGATTTTCACCCACCATCACTGCTGCTTCTTTGTCCAAACAGACTTTCTCATTTTCGTCTTTCCATTACCCCCTTTTTCAGCAAACTTCACCAACGCCATTCTCTCTGGATCGCAGTTCGAAGGTGAGCTACCGCTTTGCTTGTAGTGAGGCTAATTATAAGGCGCCTAAAAGTGTTACCATCGCCATTCTCTCTGGATCGCAGTTCGAAGGTGAGCTTCCGCTTTGCTTGTAGTGAGGCTAATTATAAGGCGCCTAAAAGTGTTACCATCGCCATTCTCTCTGGATCGCCGTTCGAAGGCGAGCTACCGCTTTGTGTCTTCCTTTCTCTTTTCCTTGATCTTTGCCATTCACGCAGGTCTGTCTTCCTGTCCAGCATGCTATTTTTTCCTTTCGCCGTTTCTTTAGAGGCGGCTGATGCGTCACCTCCCCTTCCCTTATTCTCCCACCACCTCTCTCTGCGTGCATGCTACTCTCCTGCAGGCGCCGATGTGACCGGAGCAGACTTCACAGATGCGATAGTGGACAATGCACAGAGGCGGCTCATGTGTCGCAAGGCCAAGGGGGTGAATCCAGTGACAGGGGTAGAGACCAGGGAGAGCCTCGGCTGCTGAACAGTGAGTCTCAAGTCGACTCAAATGTGTCGCAAGGGCAAGGGGGTGGACCCAGTGATTGGGGTAGGAACCAGAGAGAGTCTCGACTTCTGAAGACTGAAATTCAAATCAGCTCGCATCAAATTCCTCCCAAGGGTTGACCCCAGTGAAGGGAAAGACACCTAGGACATTCTCAGCTGCTGAACAAAAATATTTGAGTCGACCCTTAAGGTTGTGGAAAGGCAAGCTTTCTCATCGACAAAGAAATCGGCTTATTGTATCGCAAGGCCAAGTAGGCGAGCCCAGTGACTGGGGTAGCAACCAGGAAGAACATTGGCTGCTGGATGGCGTGACAGAGTAAGGGTTAGCTTCTTTTGAGGCGCCCCAAAAGACTTTTGAAGCACCTCTAACTGGGATAGACAGACATTGGCTGCTGAATGGCGTGACAGAGTTGTGTTTGGCTTCATTGTTCTGGCGTCTTTTATGCCGGCTGATTTGTTTTGTTTTTAAGACAGTTTCTTTGCTGTGGCTTCACGTGCTGGTATGTAACACCCTTCACAATAGTAGGCCGTGCAGGCTTTATCATAAGTACATATGCAGTACATCGTTATCTGCTACCCTATTATATGAGGGCACGAGGACATCACACATATACTCCTATGACGTGAAAGGGCATGCCTATATGGCATGCTGAGTTGTCTCAGGGATTTGAGAGCACACAAAACCATAGCACAGTTGCATCCTTCAGATCAGGCTTGTACCGGACGTGCCAGTCACACCGAATGTGCTGGTGCTGAACATGGATGTGCTGGCCGCACCGGACCTACTGGGCGTGCCGAACCTACTGCCGATCATGCCGAACGTGCTAGCCATGCTGCTGCGCCCAGCTACGCCAGCGGCATTCAACCGCGGCCGCTTAAAACAGCTGGTAATCTCGTACCCGTTGCTATTCTGGCCTTTCGAAGCAGGGTTGCTTGAGGTTGCTGCTGCAGCACCCAGAGGCTTGAACCGTCCCGTAACAGGGTCACGTGCGGCTGAAACACCACTTGTTTTCCGACGAGTCAAAACATGGTCGCTTGTGGCTGCAGCTGCACCGTCAGGAGTCTTAAATCTTCCCAGCACATGGCCACTTGCTGCTGTTGCTGTAGCACCAATAGTGTTCCGGCGTGTCAAAACAGGGTCGCTTGCGGTTGTAACTGCAACACCGGTAGTCTTGTAACGTTTCAAACCAGGGGCACTTGTGCCTGCAGCTGCAATTGTTGAGCCTCTGTTGTCGTGTGAAGGTCTGAGTGGCAGCATGG